TCAGCATCCTGAGTGCTGGGTTTACAGGTGAAACATCATTTACATCTTGGAAAAGCTTTTCTAGAACGACCTATTCTTCACTTTCAGCACCCTGTATCACGTTGTTGGTCTGCTTGGATCTTTCCTTACAGAACTTTCTTTTCTGTAAGATTTTTCTGTCTAATTCCTAGGGTGCTAAATATTTGTTGAATTAATGTTATATTTTTTTGAGACAGGGTCTCCTTGTAGCCTCAGCTAACCCAGAACTCACTATGTAGACTAGGCTGGCTTCTGTCTCACAGAGATTCACCTGCCTCTGCCTCCTGAGTACTAGGATTAAAGGTGTGCACCACCACACCTGGAACTATAATGTTAATTCTGAGAATTTTTTAATGTATATGAGTGTTTTCCCTGAATGTATATATGTGCACTGTGTGTATGCAATGCCCATGGAGGCCAGAAGAGAGTTCAGATCCCCTGCAACTGAAGTTATGGACAGTTGTTAGCCACCATGTGGGTGCTGAGAACCAAGCCTGAATCCTCTGCAAGGGGCATTGTGGTGGTTTGATGAGCGTGTCCCCTATAGGCTCCAAGTATTTGAGAGTTTTGTCCCCAGTTGTTACTGCTGTTTGGGGAGGTCTTATAAGGTGTGGCCATGCTGGAGGAAGCATGTCATTAAGCCCTGCCAGATCTCCAGTTGCTCCTTCTTGCTTCCTGTGCCTGCTTGAAGCTTAGTGTCCACTCCTCCTCCAGCCACCTCTGTTGCCATGCCTCCCCACCATGATGGACTCTTGCCCCTTTGGAACCCTAAACTAAATAAACTCTTCCTTTTATAAGTTCTCTTGGCCATGGTGTTTCTGTCATAGCAACAGAAAAGTAACTAATACAGGCAGTCAGTGTTCTTAACTGCTGAGCCATCTCTCCAGTTCCATTTTTTAAAAAAGTATTTTATTATTTTTATTTTATATGTATGCATGTATTGCCTGCATGTAGGTAAGTGCACCCATGTCATGCAGTGCCCGAGGAAGACAGAAGAGGCTGTCGGATCCCCTGGAACAGGAGTTAGTTGCCATGTGGGTTCTGGGATTTGAACGCCGGTCTTCTGGAAGAACAGTCAGTGTTCTTAACTGCTGAGCCATCTCTCCAGCCCTCTGGCTCCATTTTTAAAAACTTTTTATCTTGAGCCAGGCATGGTGGTGCATGCCTTTAATCCCAGCACTCAGGAGGCAGAGGCAGGTGGATCTCTGTGAGTTCAAGGACAACTGGTCTACATAGTGAGTTCCAGGATAGCTGGGGCTACAGAGAGACCCTGTCTCAAAAAGAATTATGGATGGTTGTTAGCTGCCATGTGGGTGCTGGGAACTGAACTCAGGTCCTCTGCAAGAGCAGCCAGTACTCTTAACCACTGAGCCATCTGTCCAGCCCCACAAAGTGACCTGGTTTTGCTTTTTTGAGACAGGATCTCTTTGTAGCCCCAGCTGGCCTGGAACTCACTATGTAGACTAGGCTGGCTTTGATCTCAAAGAGCTCCATCTGCCTCTGCTTCCTTAGTGCTGATATTAAAGGTATGTACTATGACGCCTGGCTTAAGAAGGTCCTTTACATGGACCCTCAATCTCCTTGTTCAAAGGAGCACTGACCAGTCAGTCTTCTACACTGGTCTTTTTCTCTCCCATTATTCCTTCCTCTCTGAGTTTTCTTTGAGATTTTTGTTTGCTTGATTTTATGTTTTGTTTTGTCTTGTATGTTTTGTCTCTGCCTCCGGAATAGTGGGATTAAAGGCATGCACCAACTGGCTTGGCTCTGAGGCTTGTTTCATTTTGGTTTTTTTGAGAAAGCATCTCCCAGGAGCCCCAGTTGGCCTGGAACTCAGTATGTAGACCAGGCTAGCCTTGAACTCACAGAGATCCTGCCTCTGCCTCCCGAGTGCTGGGATCAAAGGTATGTGCTACCATGCTGGTGGTGGTTTTTTAGGGACGAGAACCTTAAGACCGGGATGGTAAACAAGTAAAAATATTTGAAAGTGAATGTTCAATCTGTTCTTTTCCAAGTTAACAATATACAAAAGACTGGCTTCTCTGCAACCCAAGAACCGTCAACCCATCCTGCCAGCTTGGTGTTTCAAATGTTAAGAAGGAATGCTTTAAATATTAACAGATCCCTTTGGTCTTATCCAATGCCCACTCCTGTAGCCTGTACTAGAGCTTAGAAATACTAAGTCTTGCAGTTACAAGTGGCCGGAGTTAGTTGTAGGCACTAAGCCAAATTTGAAAATCTGCTGAGTTTCTTCTCAGAAAACTTTCACTTGCCTGAAAAATATTTTTTCCTCAGTCTGCCTTGAATAAGGGCACAAATGGTAAAACAGCTGCAGCTATCTTGCAACCACCAGAGAAATGTCAAGAGAATCACATAAATACACGCCCTGCTGTTTGTCAGCTGTTGTGTCATTAAAGGTCCTGCCTACCTGCATTAGTTGTGTGGCCCAGTGCACCCTTAAGTGTTTTGGCTGTGGTAATGGAATCCTGTTTTATTGTCCTAAGTACATTTTTAACTGCAGACACTAAGAATGACACCTTTTCAGTCACTCTTTTCCTCCTCACGTTTTAAAAATTTATTGACAATTTCATACATGAGTATATTTTTATCACATCCAATCCCCACTCCCTCTCCTCTAACGCCCCACAGAGTCCTTCACATTTTCCCCTTCCAACTTCATGTACTTGTCTAAGCCCACTGAGTCTGGAGTGCTGTCAGTTCTCATGTGGGTATAGGGCCCTCCACCACAGGACAGGCTGCATCCCAAACAAACTCCCCTCCCCCATCATCCTCAGAATTATGTATTCCTTCTAGTTAGTAATATTACCGTCTTATCACCCAAAATGGGCAGCTTAGTTGCCTTTGGCTATCTTCCTAAACTCTTGGTAACCGAGACTCAGTGCAGTTAGTTTTCAAGCTCATCTGCTCATCATTCTCACTGCCTTTAGTTTGGACTCTTTCCAACTACTGCCTGGACTATTGTAGCAGCCTCCTGTCTAGTCTCGTTGCTTCCAGCCCAGTACCTTTGGTGCCACATGACCATGATAGGGATTTGTTCTTGTTACCAGGTCCCACATCCAGCCTGGCATACAGTAGATGCTTGGGTGTTCAATGATTTTCTAAAAAATTACTGGCTGGGCTGTGGTGGCACACCTCTTTCATCCTAGTACCTGGGAGGCAAGTCTCTGTGAAATGGAGGCCAGCCTGGTCTGCATAGTCAATTTTAGGATGTGGCTGTGGCTACAGGGAGACCCTGATTCAAAAAACAAAAACTTACTGCGTTTCAGCTAGCATGGTAGCACATACCCGAAAACCTGCATTAAAAAACAGAGGCAGGAAGATTCCTGGGAGCTCGAGGCCAGTCTCAGGTACAAGGCAAGATCCCGTCTCACAAAACTGCTGGGTGTCGGACCCGGTACATTTGAAGTTTTTATCACCCTCAGTCCCAACGACTAAATCTTTTATATGTCTTCTTTATTGTTTATCAAATTACTCAAACATTTAGTCAGAAAAGACACAGCAATAGCATACTGGGAACCGGAAGGTTTAATGGCATTTAATCTACTGTGAAACAACGTTAGGGGGCGTCTCACTTAACACATTTTGAAGCACATTCAGTTGGTCTAGCCTAATCTAGAAGAGGCCCCTTTTCAGTGAGGCACTCGCTCCCCTTCTCTTTCCCCCTTCACTGTTCAGGATTGATTGAACGGTGGGCCTCATTCGCCTGGGCAGCTCTACCATTGGGCTATGGCCCCAGCGTGCACGCTTTGACCTTTGTTGTACGTTGTATTGGCCTCAACCTCACTTTTAAGCCCAGGGGGGGCGCCTTGAACGCCTCATCGCCGGCCTCCAGCCTCAGGAGAGCGCAGGGATTAGAGGAGTTTGCCACCTCGCCTCGCTAATGTCTTTGTCTGGTCATCCCTGTTCTCCAGATTGTGCTGGTTCAAAAGCGGAAGTTAGGGAAATGGACGGTCTGTGTGGGCAGCCGTGAACGCTTTTGCAACCCATGACAAATATCCCCAAGCAAATGCCAAAGTAAATCCATAGCGTTTTGCTTGCAAACCAGCTACAGCAAATTACAAACCGCAAGACTACGGGCACCTGCCACTCCAAGGCCCTTGGTCAAAGGAGGCCGCTGCACTGCGGGCTGCAGCACTCTTCGCCCGGGGTCCCCAACTCCACCTCCGGGCCCCCACTGCCGGACTCAGCAGTCTTCAGGGGTCACTTGGGAGGGCTAGCCTGCTGCATCCCCAATGGACACTTGGAGGGCTAGCCGGGGACTGCGCTGAGCCCTCCGCCCGGAGGTATGAAGTTGCACTACCGACAGACGGCGGCTGGTCCCCGGCTCCGCGCACGCGCCCTCGCGGAGCCGCCTCCGCCCTTCCTGCTCGCCCGGTCCCTCTCCGCGCTTGCGCCGCTCCGATTGTTTTGGCTTTCCGGAGGGATCCGGCCAAGGAAAGGGCGGGGTTAGCCAGATGAGGACGGCCGCGGGCACCCGGGAGACTCAGAGTGGCGGTGCGGGCCGGGCTGGACCCTGAGCACGGTCGGAGCAGCCGGAGCTGGACCCTGAGCGCGGTCCGAGTAGCCGGAGGTAGACCCTGAGCCGGGTGGAATAGCCGGAGCTGGACTCTGAATACCGCCGGAGCAGCCCGAGCTGCACTCTGAAGAGGGCATTGGCTCCGCGTCGGAACTTCCCGGGGAGGTGCGAGGAAGCGGAAGAGGCGGAAGCCCGCCAGGCCGGGTCCCGCAGGGCCACGCCCCCGCCTCGCCCGGACGGCCGCGCTGGAGCCCCGGGACGGAGCTGTGGTGAGCCCGGGCGCAGTGAGTGGGGGCGGGCGTGGGGTCGGACCGGGACGGCGGGAAAGCCGGACGGCTGAGCGACGGCGTCTTTCAAACCTGGCACTTCCGCCCCGCGCGGGAGCGCGGCCTCCGGCTCCGACTTGGGCGTTTCCGGCGGCGCGGCCTGCGGCCCCCGAGTGCCCCCGGGGTCTTCAGAAACAGGACCGCGCTGTCGGGGGCGTCTGCACCGCTTCCGTTTCCGCTTGGCTTGGCGGGGTCCCGGGGGCCGAAGCGCGTCCGCGTCCACACTGCCTCCCCGAGTCGGAGGACGGAGTCCGCACCCAGTTCACCCCGGGCCTCGCTTTCTCCGGAGCCGTCTTGGGAAGTGAGATGCTCGCGCCGAGCTCCGGAACCACCGTCTCCCCACGGCGTCCGGGTAAACTACGCTGAGAAAGCAGTGATTGGGCCTGCGGACGCAGTGCTGTGAGGCAGGCGCTGCTCTTGTGCGTTCGAGCGCTGCGACCCGCCATCCACCCGGGGTGTCCGTGTGCGGCGGAAATCGCGTCTTTCCCCGGTGTGCGTGCGTTTCCTTTTCCCACTGTCCTTCTGTGGTGCGTTCCAGCCCGCCTCGGGTGGGAAGGCCAGTGTTATAGTTGAGGATGCCTTTCCCTGGCTTTGGGTGTAGATGGTCCAAGGTGAACGTGAGGCAAGTCAGGCACCTGCTTTCCAGCCTCTGTGCTGTGGAGTGTGGCTGTTTGTTTACCTTGTTGCTCTGATGAGTCTGTTTCTCTTTGAGACCCTTGGTATTTGGGCCTGAACTTGGCTTCAGGAGTCCATGAGCCAGTTTCTCTTGACCACTGGCACTCCTGTTGAGGAAGCATGCTCTGGTCGGTAGGTTTCCATACAGTGTCATTTCCGCTACACATTTGGCAGGACTTTATAAATGCTGCAATTCTTAACTCTTTTATCCCCATGACAACAGTACTTTAAAGTATCTTTATTCACAAAGACTGTAAGATGAGAGAAGATGAAAGGCGCAGTAGTACTTAAGTGTGCCTGCAATAGATCTTTCTGGATTAATGTCATGATAGATAGTTAAGCTTTGAATATTGTATGTGTTTTGCATGCTTGGTAAATTTTCTAGAAGCTAGAATTCAGTCTCATTTGTTATGGTAGGACTGTGCCATAGTGTTGCCCAGGCTTGCCTTGAAATTCAGCTTCAGCTTCTTAAAATATGGCATTAGAGGGCTGGAGAGATGGCTGCTCTTACAGAGGATCCAGGTTCGATTCCCAGCCACCCACATGGTGGCTAACAACTGTTCTAACTCCATTTCCAGGGCCTCCCATGCCCTGACCTCTGGGCATCGCAGACGTGCAGAAATACATACAGAAGCTATACACTTGTATGCATAAATTTTTAAAAAATCATAGCATTACAGACTAGCACTACTGTGCCAACCAAATACAGTCTTTAAGGCCAAAAGCTATCCTTGGTTTTTCCACAGATTTGCACATTTATTTAGAAAATAATTCAGTTTTTTCCCCTTGCCAGCATTCCTGAAACCTAGGCAAAGGGTTGGCCTTGCCTCCCTAAAATACATGGTTAAAAACTTTAACTCCTTTATTATATGTTCATCTTCTCCAGTTTTGCAGTTTGAATGAAACAAATAGTTCTATAACTTGGAGAATTAGGGAAGGCAGGTTGTTTCTAACTAATTTTAGGTGTATGAAGAGTGTCCTGGTTCTCTTGTCAGAAATGGGCAATGCCTTGATTCTTTTGTGGGAAGGGATTGTCATAGGAGATTTGAAGAAAATGTATTTAATGAGAACTTTCTTTTCTGTCCTCCACTCATATCTCTAACAAACAGGAACTTGTATACACCTTCCATCCTAAACAGGGACTTCTGAAAACTGCCTTCATGCTCTGCCTGTGTGTTTCTGTGGTACTGGGGTTACTAACCAAGTATCCTACCTACTGCTCCCAAGCTGTAACCCCAGCCTGGGGGGTTTGTTGTTGGTGCTTTCTTGTTTTATTTATTTTTTTTTTTTTTGAGACAGAGTCTTACTGTGTAGCCCTGGCTGGCCCTGAACTCGATATGTAGACCAGGCTGGCCTTGAATTCACAGAGATCCTGTTTTGCTTTTTGTTTGTTTGGGTTGTGCCACCACATTGAGCTTCAGGATTTTAGTTGTTCTGTTTTTTTTTTTTTTTTTTTTTTTTTTTTTTTTTTTTTTTTTTTTTGTAAAAAATGGTTCTCTGCCCCTCAAAACTGCATAGATGAGTGTTAGAATATCTAAGAAATGTTTTTGTTCTGTTGTGATTGGAGAAACTGACCTGAGAAAATGGAGTGAGGTGAAAAGGTCTGGGTCAGTTTTGCACTCGAATACCTTTTCCCATCTCTCTAGGATATGGAATAAAACTGATGGGAAAAGGAGTGAGGTCCAAACTGGTGGACTGTACTCAGCTGTTACGCTATCATTCGAGTTTCCTTTTTTCTTTTCTTTTTTCTTTTTTTTTTGAGACAGGGTCTCCCTGTAGCCCCAGCTGTCCTGGGGGTATGTAGTCCAGGCTGGCCTTGAACTCAGAGAGATCTACCTGCCTCTGCCTCCCAAGTGCTGGGACTACAGGCGTGTGCCACCACGCCCAGATCCATTCGTGTTTCTTTAAAGTTAGATAACTTACTAATCAGTGTAGTACAGAAGCTTGTACTGAGGACTTGAATTTACTTGTGAGAGTAAAATTAACCTGGCAGCTGTGTAATCTTTTCCATTTTGGAAGGAACACAGGAATAGCTGTGAATTTGGTTTAAGTATAGGAAACTGCTGAAATTTGTCAAACTTGATAAATTCTTCAAAAAGCAGCCTTTTTTCCCCCTTTCAGTTATTTGTTATAGCTCCAGAAAATAGTGTAGCTTTTGACAGTCTTAAGGATGAAGTAGTCTTCTAAACATTTCCAACTTTGGTGACTTGAAAGGAAGCTGTTGGTGGAACCGTATCCTGTCCTTGAAGTAAAGAAAGGCCTGTAGAATGGCTTGTGCCTCCCTAACTCTTGGGTTAATTTCTCTTCACCAACATCAGCCTTCTCCAGACTCATCTGGTTGGGCTAGTTGGTTTCATAATTTGTACCATAATTTCAGAATATTCTGTAAAATTTGAAAATAAATTTCTCTTCTCACCTGTGCATGGTGGCACACGCCTTTAATACCAGCACTCAGGAGGTAGAAGCAAGTGGATCTCTGTGAGTTTGAGGCCAGCCTGGTCTACATAGTGAGTTCCAAGTCATCTGGGTCTACAGGAAGACCCTGTCTCAAAGAGACCCCCACCCCCCAAAATTTTTTCCTCTAAAATACTGTTTAGAGCTGAGTGTGGGGGCACAGGTCTGCACTCCTGGCACTAGGAGGCAGAGGCAGGATCATTTTGAGAACATTTTGGACTGTACAGTAAGCTCCAGGCCATCCTGAGCTACAGAGGGAGACCTTGTCTCAAAAAATGCAACAACAAAAGCACTTGAGATGAACAGAGATAACTGCATTTGGAGTGTTAGGGCCTTGTAATTGAATCGCTAGACCTAGTTATTCTAAGGACAGTGATGCAGGCATTTGGAAAGGTGCTATGGAGTTTCACAGTGATTGAATTAGTAAAAACAGTCACAGTGTATGTAGTGCTCTGTCAGGCATTGTTCAAGTATGAGACTCATTTAGTCCCTGAACAAATCATAGAAAAGTTCGATTTTTATTCTCATTTTTATAGGTGAGCCAACTGAGGTACAGACCTAGTAAGCTGCAGAACTGGGCTGAGGTGGTTTATTTTTTGTCAGCTTGAAACAGGTATATCTATGCCTTGGAAGAGAGATTCTTTTTTCTTTTTTTTTTTTTTTTTTACCGGGTCTCCTGTAGCCCCAGATGTCCTGGAATTCACTATGTAGACCAGGCTGGCCTTGAACTCACAGAGATCCGCCTGCCTCTACTTCCCCGAGTGCTGGGATTAAAGGCGTGTCTACCACGCCCGGCTAGAGATTCTTTTTTTCTTTTTTTTAAATTTATTCTTTTTATCTGTATGAGTGCATTGCCTGCATGTGTGTAAGTGCACCAGTGTCTGCAATGCTGAGGAGATCAGAAGAGGATGTTTGGTTCCCCTGGAACTAGAATTACAGATGGTTGTTAGCTGCCATGTGGGTGATGGGAATCAAACCCAGGTCCTCTACAAGAGCAGCCAGTGCACTTAATCTCCAAGCCATCTCTCCAGTCCAGGAGAGACTCTTAATTGAAGAATTGCTTCCTTCAGATTGGTGTGTGTGTGTGTGTCTGTCTGGCATTTATTTCCTCAGTTGCTCATTGATGGCGGCCCCTTCCATCAGATTGGTCTGTCTGTACGTCTGTCCATCTGTCTGTGGGGCATTTCCTCAGTTGCTCATTGATGGAGGGCCCAGCCCACTGTGGGAGCTCAGCAAACAGCCTTCCTCTGTGCTGTCTGCTTCTGCTCCTGCTCCAGGTCCTGCCTTGAGTTCAGACCCTGATTCCAGCAAAGATGTACTGTACTTAGAAGTATAAGATGAAAAACCTTTTCCTCCTCAAGCTGTTTTGTTTTTGTCAGAGTATTTTATCGCAGCAACAGAAAAGCAAACTAGAACATGGGCTTAAACCCCAAGTAGCTTGCATTTATATGCTTTTCCCCTCAGTACTTGCCACCCAGACTGCCTTGGATCCTTTCCAACGAAAGTTTTCAGTCTTCTTTATTGATATTTGTAGCATTGAGAGATGGCAGTACAATTTGTTTTTGCAGTTTTATTATGTGTATGTGTGAATGCCTGCATGTATGTATGTGCACTACATGTATACCTGGCACCCAAGGCCTGGAGGCCAGAAGAGGGCGTCACATCACCTGGAACTGGAAGTACAGATGATTGCTAGCCCCGTGTGTGCTGGAAACCAAACCCAAGTCCTCTGCAAGAGCAACAGGTGCTCTTAACCATAGAGCCATCTCTCCAACCTTAGAGTACAACTTGAAAGTACTTTCTACAGTTGAGTGACCTGTAGCTCACTGCCCTCCCTGGAGGAAGACCTTCTTGTGTTTGTCAGGTTCTGTTCCCTACTGCGTTGAGAACTTTTTTAAAAATATATTTATTATTTTTATTTTATGTGTATTTGTGTATTGTCTCCGTGTAGGTAAGTGCACCTGTGTTGTGCAATGCCTGCGGAGGACAGAAGAGGCTCTTGGATCCCCTGGAACTGGATTTACAGACAGTTGTTAGCTGCCATATGGGTGCTGGGATTTGAACCTGGGCCTTCTGCAAGAACAGTCAGTGTTCTTAACCACTGAGCCATCTCTCCAGCCCCAAGAACTTTTTTGACACACTCTTAGTATGTAGCTCAGGCTTGCAGTCCTCCTGCCTTAGTCTCATGGCAGCTGGAATTACAAGTATGTGCCCCATACCCAG